AGAAGAAATACTAAAAGCACACATCGATTTAATTCTGAATAGATAGTATCCAAGTATAGCATTAAAAAAAATACATATCATGTTATACCAATAGAGCGTTCATGTTAACATAATATGGAATACTCGCAGAGAAAGAGAGAAGAAATAATTGAACACAGATAGTAATAAAAACGTTATGAAAGGCTGATTCGTAGGCCCCATTTTCTCGCTATTCATTTAATTTAAAAAAATCATATGGTTAAATAAGAATAAAATGTATCATTAGTTAGTAATTTTTTAAAAATTTTATAATATGAAGTTTATTTTATGAGTTTGAATTCTATTTAAGAGTCATCCTTTTTTTTTTAAATCTAATATTGTACTATGTAAAGCTATTTTTTATTTAATTAATTAACTAGGTGATAATTGTATAGTATAAAAAATGTATTGATTATTTCAATTCGTTACTACAGCCGACCTATATTTTAATTGTAAACACTTTGCAGGGTACTTTTTGTTTAACATACTTATAGTATCAATTCGCTGAAAATGTAATACATTAATTAGAGGAATACTACCCGTTCCTCTCAAAAAAATAAACAAAACAAGAAGCTCAGGAAGTCAATTTCTGTATTTAAAAACGTTCATGGAAAATCAATGTCTTCGTTAATTTGATGATTTTAAATAAAATTAAAGAAAAGCGTGTGTGTGTGAGTATGCGCGTGGAAATTGAAACTCTTTTCGGTATTTTTTGGTTTTCTATGAAAAAGTAATAGAGTTAAGAAAAAAATATTATTATTACTATTGTTATTTCATTAGGGAAAACACAAGTACAATTCGATTTGTAAATAAACAAGTTAAAAATTATCATCTTTTAACATAATGAAATACTCAATAAAAAAGTCTTAGATCCACCACAGATGGGTTTAAGAAAAATTTGATACTAATAGTTTGACTAAATTACAAACAATTTAGTTCCTAGTACAAGATGATTGAACTCAAAAGCATTCACGTGCTGAACACTAAATTACACCATAGCGCCATGTATCGCAGCCGAGTAAATGGGTAATTTTAGTCAAAAGTCTTGATTCAAAATTATAGCTTACAATATTATACGTTTTGGTTTTGGTATTTTTTTAAACCTACTGCCCCTTGTGTAATAAAGTCCTTTGGTTTGGCGGCAAAATTTCCGTGTCTGATAATGGGAATGAAGGATATTAGAAACTTCCAGGTACGATTTTTGATCTATACTTTGCTACACGAAGAAAATCAGTTCAGCGGCTTAAGAGATATTGTGGGTCTCGACACGTGCAAAAAAAAATGATAAAAACAACACAGCCTCAACTCCGCATCGACGCTAATAGTAAACACTCTATACGCACAATAATGTCTGTGCATTAATTCGAATTCTATGGCAGGGGGGGGGGGGGGGGAAGATCGGTTAAGCTGTCGACCTTCGGGTAATGTGACGGTACAAGAGTTTATGTGCTTTGAAGGAGCTCTGCCCACGCTAGGTTGACGACAATTCCCAAGTGTTGTGTTTGTGCGTGTAAACACCAAATGCGATGCTCGGCGCGATTGTAAAAATATTCGAAACGCGGTGCGCGTGCCTTGTGTTGTGGCGAGAGCGGGGCGGGCTTGTTCTAAAAATGCTTTTTGTACAAACAAAACCCAGGCAATCCGGTGTCGGTAAATATGGCGACGAACAACATGATAGATGATGAAAACCGTTTCGACATTGTTCAAACAAACCACCGCAGCAGCACCGCCAATGACGTACAGGCCTGTGCTTGCAAGTCACCAACAGTGCTTACATATATGTATGTATGGTGCAGTACACACGGTAGTAAATTGTACACAGTCGAGCGCACGTCGAACGCTCGGAAATTTAATGCGTGTCATTTACATTATATATTTAATAGAAACCGAAACCGTCGTTTTGCTTTGAACGTTTAACCGATGCTCAAGCTTAGTTTGTGACGGCTGACTATCAGACCATGCCGGTGGTGCAATGGACACAGGTATATGTTATCATGTGTACCGTGTAAACAACACAAAGGGATAACTAAGGTATAACACGATAGCGTAGGGCAGCGTGTACACAAATACTGTATAAGCTTCACGCAACGACGTTCGAGGGCCTTCGATTGCTATGTCAACACACGAGAAAAATACCAATTTATCGCCTATGGGGCTATTTTATGAGCATCTTGCGGAAGATGTTTAAGTGTTTCCAAAGAAATCTATTCCATGTGTGATGAAGGTATTGGCACATATAAAATTTAAGAACTTTCTAATCAGCTGTCCTTCTTAAACAATGGACGCTATTTTCGTGTTAAACTCTCAATACAATTGGCACAGCCGCACCACCGGCCACGATTGAATTTAGTGTTTACAATGAATAGCTTGGGAAATGTTGAATCTAAGACTTAATGACGGCTATAAAAGCAAAGACATATTAAATTAGTATTGAATTGAATTATGTAAATCAGATTTTGAACATAAAGTTAGTTTAATTCAGTTTCTGCGAGAAACGTGATGCAAACCAGACCGACGCAATAAATAATAATAATAATAATTGTAATAAATAAAATAGTAGGTCTCATAACACAAAAAAAAAAAAAAATACAAAGTATTGTTATTCAACAATTTGTTGCCTAACGTTCTGTATTTAAAAATGAGAGTATTAATAGAGTCAGTGTCTGTGCAGTTAAGACGTCAACTGTATTACAATACAAAATATATAATGCAAATTTGTCGGAAAAAAAATTATGATAAAAATATTAAATATAATCGTGTATACTATTCTTAGCGTTTATTAAGACTGAAAAATGTTAATGAAACCCATAATATTATTGTAGTTATAAAAACTTAAATGCACTATGCACACTCACGTCATTGGGGACAGCACAACGTATTGTTTACACGTTCAATGATAACCAAAACATACTTGAATTAATTTCCCCTACCTGTCAAATTACAAAAGAATGTTTGTATAATTTGTCTTGGTTTTGTGTGTTCGGCGATTCCTTAAAATACACGGAAAACGATACAGTTATGTTTTATTGACGAGCGACCTAACCGTGTAGGTCTTCGAGTCAAGTTTCGAGGATTGAAAATAATTTGAAAAACATTTTTCAGCCTAGTCTGCAACCACGAAAGAGCATTTTCATGTCTCGTTGAAGTACCGAATAAATTAAGAGTAGTGGTGGAAATATAGATAATGATATAGTATATTAAGAAGCAGTAACAAGCTAGTATATAAAAACATCAAGTTTCTGGCTAATATTGTAGTGCTTAATATTGTATCTGGCTTAAAACAATTCATAGTTGTTGTGTTCACAATGGTTCGACTATTATTAAAAAATAAATTGAACGTAATTTAATAGGTCGAATTGTTTCAAGCCAGATTTTATGAAAACACTAAAATATTAGACAGAAATTTGATTGTACATAATTTTTAAATCTCTTTGGCCATATGCTGTAACTGGAAGCTCCATGGAATATTTTTTTCATTATAATTCTACAACTAATCTAAATTTTTATATGATCTGGCCAAAAGTAACTTAACAGAGAATTTGGGCCCTTTATTTATTTTGAATTTATCATTTAGTTCTAATTTGAACGTTGAACGTACAACATATCTCTTATCTCCCACCCCTATCTACTACCCCCTATCTCCTACCCCTTTAACGGTTTGGGAACGCTTTTTTCAGTTATGTACCAGAGCAAAGATATGAAAATGTCAAAAAATAACATCCCTACCAATATATTTTTAATAATAGTGGGTTGTGTGAAAAATGTCTGTTTGCTCTTATGGAAACAAAATATATTGTTTGCAAGGGAGAATTTTTTAAGCAGTTTTCCGATTTACCGTTTAATCAGGTTTCGTTATTCTTCGTAATATTATCTAAATTGTAATTTTTAATAAAAAAAATAATAACAGCATCGTTTACTCATAAATAAAAATAACAAAATGACAGCGTGATGAGTAATTGGTTTTTCACAGTGATTTTAGATTTGTATGATATTAGTTATCATATGTAGGTATTACATAATGTAATATGATATTTAAAATTTAATTAACTCGCTTACATAATAATAACTTCATTGATTTAGTTGAACAAAAAAAGTTATGGGTGGTTTAAAAAAAAAAAATTAATTTGGCCTAATACAGTTTTTTGGCGGCAATCATTAAAAATATAAAAAGCATAAAGTTTCAACTTGGATTACACACTCTCATCGGTCAAAAACTTTGGATCAAAAAATGGCCTCAGAGAACTGGGCCATAGTAGGTACCTACGTATATAACGGTAAATGTCACCCAATCTAGGTTATGGCACAATACGCGGATAATACGTTTTGTCCGGGTCTCAAAATTAATGACCGTGGCCAGGCCAAATAAAAAGACTCTGAATTTTGACCCATTAAGTATTTTGTTCATTGTGTACGCACGCGCCATTGTGTAGGTATACATAATAAATTACATACAACACGTCATAAATTATATTTCAACAGTTTTGCTTCACTTGTAGAAACCGCGATCTGCTATGTTAACAGAAAGTTTTCGGAAGGACGGCAGTTTATAGTTTTTGAGTATGCGATAACGTTTAAAAATTATCTTTGACCTATCTAATCGATAAAAAAAATGTAGGTAGTCTTGATTATCCTAAGGATAACGGTCACACTTATCATCGACAAATTTCACCTTTAACGGAGCAAATACACTGATATAGGTAACAAAAAAATTAAAAATAGTACTATTAAAGGTAAGAAAAGACACAATTTGAACTGTTGAAACAAGAGGTCAATGATCGTCTTTAATTGCTGGCTTAAAAAGTTAAACGGATCGAATGACATGATACATTCAGTAAGATACGGTTAGGTTAGGATCAGAGACGGATAGGACAATTTGTTGGCCATTTCTTTTATCCAAAAATTGTTAGCAAATTTTACCGACATAACACTGACTAACTAGTTTAAATTACATTTTTTTTTTAACGATTTCAATTTTAGCTTACCTCGTCTACAGTTAATGTCTCTCGACGGAACAGCCGGATGATTGAGGTGTACGGTGAGGTAAGAAGATATTTTTATGTGAATTAATGATATGGCGGCGAACGGCACCCCAAACTGAATGATAGTCAAGCAAACGGTGTATGATTGTTGTGCGACTAGAAACGGCCATTTTTCAACACAAGCTTTGTACACGGGAAAATTGCCCAAATGGATCGACTCTAGATTCTGGTACAACACTATTGGTACCATTGTCACAAAAGACACCATCCAGATGAGTATCAGTGATTTGGCCACGCTGCATCGGAATATTGATCCTCTTGGATTACGCACGATCGTAAAATATCTAGAAATAACAACAAAAGACATCAGTCATAACATAAACACACGAAGAATGTGTTCAAAAAATGTATATTTCAGTTCAAGTGGCATTAAACCGAGACATTTTTTGTTTAAATAACAAAAAAAAAATCTTTTAAAGTAATAAATTGTTTTACATACATTTATTTTTTACTTTTTCAGTTAACCTGTTTTTTAAAATAATTTTTTTATTTTAATTATTAATAAGTTTATTTTAATTTAAATAAAATATTATTTTAATATACCAATTTTTATAAAATGGATACATTTTTGTTCATATAATAGGCTTTTGAAAAAATTATTTGAATATTTTTGTTCAGATAAGAATAGAATTACATTTATTATTGGAATTTTAATAATTATTTTAATTTTTATTCAGGTCTTGGGGAATTAATACTGTTAATAATTACATTTTTATGTGAATCTTTTGATCAAAAAGTGTCAATCTGAATTCAACTTTTTAGCTTGTTTTTATTTATACACTTATTTAAAAAGGTTATCCACATCTAACCCTGCGACTAATAATGATTTAGTATAAAAAATGTTAAAGAAATTAAGACCCATAAATTACAGAAAAATAGCTATTGACGACTATGGTCATACTTAATTTCCTGACTGAAATAAAATAAGGTCAGCAATGTTATTATTTTTATTTGTGGTTTGACCAGAGAATTTATGTACATCATTTTCGGGGCATTACGCATTTCTAGCAATACTATTAAAACAATATCGTTGAAAACATTTAAAAAAATTGACATTTATTTAGTTTAATATATATTTTTTGTTATGCTCAAAAATAGTTAAGTTCGAGATTATTGCTGCTATTATTATGTTAATACATTACAGGAATTTTTTTATCATACGAAGACCCGGTGTCGACAAGTAGGCTACCTCTTAGTTTTTTTGTCGCAGTTTTAAATAAAACTAATACTATTTCTACTACTACTATAGAATGCATTTTATTCCATCATGATCAATATTTGTTTATACAAAATCCATATAATGTAGTCTTTTAATGCTGCAAGTTTGTAGTTGTTATTATAGATTTAATGGAACTGAACAGCAAATCTTTATTTAATATAACATTCCACAATCAGCAGAAAAACAAAAATAAAATGTATTAATCAAAGCGACATTTTGATTCGAGAATATATTATGTAAATGTTTATCCTTATAAATGTGATAATACAATTATTTGTAAACATAAAAAGTGATAAAAAATTGTAAAACTGATTTCAGCACCAGCCACCATTTACTAACATCGATCCCCAACTGGCAAACAGTAAACGTCCCTAATGCTAGTGGCTAAATTAATTTTTTTATGTTTGCCTATTAAGTTTATTTTTTTTGCGGCCCAACGCCGAACGCATAAAAAAAATCCTCCAGCACAGCAGTATTTTAATGGAGTAACCCTTTTTTATGCTAATGTATGTGTATATGTATTTATATATATCTATATACATATGTTTTTTGCAGAATTTGAGTATACCTTCATTTAATAATCGAAAAAATCCATTATTTATTTATTTTTGCAGAGTTGCTGAAATAGGTTCAGTTTTCATTAAACATATAATTACCCACCAACCAACACAGTGTTCTAATTAATATTACTAACGTGGCGATTTTAAAACGTATTAACTAAATAATAGCATCAACCAACTTCAGATTAAACACTATTAATTAATTATTCAACATTATTATTTTTAATTTTTATAAATTATAAAATTAGAGCCCAACAACCACATTAGTCATTACTATCGATCTCCGTTACTCTGGTCGTTGGTTTATGCTTTATACAAATCGAATACTGTTTCAAAGGTTTTATTTTTTGTTAATTTTTTTTCATTGACACATAATATGGTCGTTAGTAAAACTGGATATTAACTTAACTTGTTATCCTAGTGCAAAACCCTAAATAATTGAGAAATCGAACAACGCGTAACTACTCATTATGGTTTAATTTTTTATTTTACTCAATTTGTCACTACTACACATCATTTACGAAGGATATCTGTGATACAAAAGATATAATACGATAATGAATCACAGTGTTTGCTTGACCTAGTTTTTTCTTAAATTGTAATTTAAATCAAAGCTTAACTGTATAATCAACATCATTTAGTATTGTCACTATATAGTTACTATTCACCGCCCTAAAAGTCTTTTTCGAGTTATGTCTACTCTGATTTTCTTATAACAAATAACAACCCTAAACGAAGTAAATAATATACACCGTTGCAAACAAATAGAATCTGTGTAAATAACATTATATCGTCAGCCTATTTAGCAATGGGTATAAGTCCAAAATACCAAATTTTAAGATACGTCCTTTGCTAAATAGGCTGACATTCCACAAACTAAAACAGTAATGTAAAAATCAAAATTTAGTTTTCTAGGTCGGATAAAACAAAACTATAGCAGGAAAACTTAAACTTTGACCTCGGTCAAGTAAACAAAATTTCAATCTTTACATGGCTATTTTGATTTTTATAACTTATGATTTTAAATCAGGTACCAAATTATATTTGAACTTTCAAGGCTTATATTATACACTTCTGTGTTTATTTATTTACAATTAGTGACAATCTATTCTAATCTAACAAAATGTTTTGTTGGAATATCAATAGTTTTTTTGGTATAAAGTTACAAATGACACGGACAATGTATTCATTATTACAGAATATAAAATTATACACATTTTGCTTTAATAAAATATATATTTATACCCGAATTTAAAACTTAAGTGTTACGGGAATAATATTATCAGACTAAAGTTATGCTACACAGTTATGTAGTAATATTGCCTATCTAATGCGCCGGTAATTCAATAGCCAACTTGATCACAATAATACGTATTATTTAATAGTAAGTATTGTATTACTCTTGAAAACAGTATTTTTTTAAATCATCATACCTCTATTTTATTTTTAAAAAGAGTTTGTTAAGCGAGGACATCAAAAAGAATTGGGAATCACATTATTAAGTTTAAGTTTTTTTATTCAAGTCACACGAATTCGTTTTGTTATTAAAGTAACCCTCAAAAATGAGGAAAAACGCACTTTGACCGAGGTAATTTTCTAGTTGCTATATGAAAGCGAACCAACAGTCAACTGTCAAGAAATTTATAAGTAGACAGGCGATCTAATCGTATTTACCCTAATACTAAAAATACAATTTTAAACACATTATACTGTTTTTATTAATGTTTGTATTATGTTTGATATTCTACCATATACAGATTTACATCGAAGAGTTTAAATTTGAAAGTAATTTTATAACTTTCATTTAATTATTCCTGTAGACCTGTGTTCTCCCTCCACCCAAAAATTTTCCATCTTCAATCTTCATTGAATTTTTTTTTTACTAATTATGAACAAACATTTAACGTTTAATATAAATTATACAACAGTGTATTTACTAATTACTATTTATTATACAACTGTACATTATATAACTTCCTTAGATGGATACTGGAACTCACGCGTGTCTACATGTTCTTTCAATTTAAACTACACACTGGGTGGTTAAAAAAGTATGACAAGGTATTGTAATTTAAATAAGTTTTTCATATAAAGTGTAACTAAATTTCATTCATAAATTATTAATTTATATTGTTATGTGTAAATTAATATAAATGAATTGTTTCTGTATAGATATTATTTAATACCCATATTAAAACCTGTTATCGTAACGTTTACCTTACTGTGCTACAAGTACCCCAAAAGTACTAATAATAACGGCACGGTAACCAATTAAAACCACATGGTACATTAATTTAAAAAAATATTAGCACTTTCTGTAATGAATAAGTACCCATTTTTTTTATAATTTAAATTATATTATTTTATGTCATTCCCACCCTTATGCTGTTTACTTTGTTTAAAAAATCGTAAAATGAATTAGGACTTACCCAATTTATTGCGTTTTTTGCCCAAGACTTTTTTTATAATTTTTAATTTTCATTAGCCTTTATTAAACAATATTATGGCTCAGAAATTATAACAGTTTATAGGTGTTATGTTGAAATCAACTTAAAACATTATAAATATAACAAAAAAATTAATTTATTATCACTTGTATGAATTATATTTCTAAATAAATAGAAAAGCCAGCACCTAAAATTAATCCAACGATCAGTGACGTATTTGAGAGGGGGGGCGATAGGGACATCCCCCGAGATATATTTGCCAATCATATTTTATGTTTGTTAAATTTATAAGCGTTTCTAATTGTTAGATTTGAAAATAAAAAAATAAATAAATATAGGTCTTATTTTGTAAATAAAAATGTGCTTTGTTCTATCAAATGTCTACAATTTTTTTTTTGAGGGGGGTGGACCTCTCTTAATATCGCCCCCTTGAGGTGAAGGCTCAAATACGCCACTGCCAACGATGGAGGTTATGATGGGTACTGGGTAGGTTAAACTAACTAACTAAACATTTAGTTGGCTAAACTATTTATTTAGTTATTCCAACTATAAACTTATGGTGTTCCTATATTAACCATAATTTTAGTTGGTCCAACTATGCCATTTTTCCATGAAGTAACAAAGTTTTATTTTATTATTTCAAGCATAAAATACGATTTAATATAGATAGGTAGATACTAGGTAGGTCGGCACAGAAAAACCATTGTTTTTACGCCTTATCCGACGAGTTTAAAGGGTTGTAAGTCGTAGAAAGATTCGCTGTACCAACTAGAGTTAATGCGTCAACAATCTATATAAATAAATTCTTAATTAGTCTTCTAAAAATGTTTTATGAAGTGTTCTTTTGCCAAAAAGTTTTGACGATTCGGAGTGGAATGTTCAGTCAATAATCGAATACAAAGCAGGAATGCTTTATACTTGCTTCTTTGGCGCCTTTTTTTTTATCGTTATTGCGCTGTGGTATGTAATTTTCAGCGATGGTCGATTCACAGCTAACACGTGTACAACTATTTATTGTAAACTGAGCTCGTGTGTCTTTTATATTCAACCCCTTAGGTATTTATCTTATTGCACACTTGTCACCACCGCCTCCTCTTCCTGGTCGCACTTAACATTGAGGGGTAACAAGGGTGGCACGCATTGTTCTACTATATATTATATATTTTCATGTTATGGTTTTCTTAACGTTATTTGTGCGCATCAATTACTGAAATGTATCAGCGATTGCTCGCTACTAATTACTCTTGTAGCTGTAACCCAGCCTTTTTCTTATAAGCTAACCTCTCCGAGTTGTGGGTTTTAATCCACGTATGTGTTCATGAATATACATGTATATATAAGGCGACGTACGGCAATTATACGAGGAAGTTTCATTTGGAAAGCGCCGAATCAAACAGCAATTACAGCCGGTAGGATTCATCTGATTATACCATGATGCTGCAAACGAGCTGGTGACGGCTGCGATTCTTCAACGTTTAGTTTGTCTCGGCAGATGAAAACATTATCATAATATGATGAAGAAAGTTACCGTATACGATTCAACGTCGTGTTAACCAGCGTCGATGGTTGTTAAAACTGTTGTTCTATTACAGTAAAAGTGTCAAATTCTCGCTTTACCAACATTACCCAATCATCATTTAACAATATTAATTTGGTCGGATGATTCGTTTTATGTTGGCAAAATGGATTTTATAGACTTAACAGCCTTCAACCCAAGCACTTTAACTCGTACTGTCGCAAATACATTATTAACTTGACAAAGCCGAAAGTTTTTGAATATCGACCCAAGTCTTCGCATAATTTAAACTATACATGCGTTGTCTTAATTTATACGGGCCACAAGTAAAATTATTAACATTACAAACAAGATTACAAATTAGTAGTTAATATAACATATGTTATCCATGTCAGTGAGGTAACCTGATAAATAAAGCAACATTTAGCTTAAACGAACGTTGAATGTAAAAATTATATCTATAAAAAATATCGTATAATATTTAAATTTTTAACATAAGTGTAATATAATTATTATAAATTTGTTCGGACATTGTAAATATGAACGTTTCTAATGAAATTATATCGTACCATTATCGTTATTGAAAATAGGTGAATTAAAGTGGTAAATATTTTCGTTTTATACATTGTCATGACCGTTGTAATTAATGATATTTAGAGACACCACTTATATAAATATTTAATATAATATTAAAATATTTGCTCATTTAGATATACTGCAGTCACGCTATAATAATAATATTAATATTTGTTATTATTACTTATTAAAAGTTGCACGTAAAGCCTTAGCTGGTACTTCTATTATAATAAATAATTATGAATTCTAATTATACTAAATTTATACGATTGTCTATTTTGGTACCTCTTATACAATTGCATAGAATACGGTAAATTGTAAGTAGTAATAAGCAAGTACTCTTTTACCTCTTTTACACACACTCGAGGCCAGTCGGTCGTAACCTTACTAGTTATTTATAATAAAATTTGTATTACATCAGGCAATGACTCATAATTTGTTTTTTAATATCTAGTAGGTGTCAAGTGCTTATTACATTTGTAATATTACAAAACATTTTACATAATATTATACCATCGTTCGAACGGTGTTATATGGTACAAGTGTAGTTCACGTACATCGTTAAATTACTTGAACATAATAAGTAAATTTACCAAGTATTGCGCAAGTAGGAGTCATATTATATTTTTATTTTGTAGCCGAGTTAAATTTTTTGCGTTACTAATATTATTGGTCATAGCTTACCTGTCAAGAGCAATGGCCGTTATGGTGCACGCGGATACGGTGATGTTGGCGCCTTGTGCCACCGGAACGATCTTGCACATGGCCAAGCCCCAACTCCAATGTTTGGACATGATCGCCCAGAGGCTGTACGGTATGCTAACCATAGACATCATGATGTTGGCGATTGCCAAGTTGACTATATACAAGTTACGGGGCGACGGCCCTTGGCTGGGCACGTTCTTTTTGCCGCACTGTCTGAACACCACGAAGCACACCAGCCCGTTGAAGATCAGACTCACCACAAACACTATGCAATACAACGTCGTGAACGTCACCTTGGCGTACATGTCTAGCACTTCAGTTGCGATCATCTGATGGCCGAATATCGCGTCTAGCGCGTGCTTCATGCTGACGTTGAATACGCCGTTGTCGGCCATTTCCGACGAGCCGTTAAGGAAACTGTGGTACCGGCCATGACTGCTTGTGCCTCCGTCGTACTTGGAGTCGATGGCTTTTTCCATCAAAATTGATAACATGTCCATAAACCTATCCGAACACGTTGCCAGACGTTTGAGCTCGTGGTTGTGCAGTTTTGGCGGGTTGAACATATTGTGTCCAAAGTGGATTTCGACGCTGTACTTTTAACGACACCAACATTAACCCATGGTTTCTGAAATGAAAAACAGCAAAAAGTGAAGTGAACAAAATATTAATATACCAAACACCCACTAGGCTAGTTAGAGAAAACATTCAATATAGCTAAGTTCGGCGGAAGAGATTATTTAAACGGGATGGACGAGCTTGCTACTTTTACTGTATCAAAAATGTAATTTGATTTTTCCAAAGTCCAAGCACGTTCACATACCAATTAGTAGCGATGAGTAGAATTACGACACATTTACTTACTGTGACGTCATAAAAGAAAACGTTTAAATGCTACATTATTATATTTCCTAGTATTTGGAATCTGTAGCATGATATGTGTTTTAGGGTAATCACCCTAAAAGTAAACCAACTCGGATTGCTCAATGAACATCGCTTCAAACCATACAAAGAATTTTTTAAGTTCTCAAAAAGGTTTGAGAATTTGAAAAAACTGTGTCTGGAAACGATGAAAAATGTATGATTACAAACGGATTCAATAATTAAGAAGACGTACAAAAAATAGGATGTTATTGACAGAATTGGTATTAACAGGGGAATGAAAAAAATAGCTATCTTTGGTCTAACTGATAGAACGAAGCGGATACACTAGCTATAAATTACAAAATTATAATAGATAAAATAGTTGTAAAGGAATTTAATTAAGAAAAACTAAAGAAATTAATTTTCCTACAACAGTTGGGACACGAAATAATATTATACCATATGATATTTTAAAAGTGATCGGTGTCATATCAGTTAATTTATTTCGGGACAATAAAAATTAATTTGTTAAGGAAAGCAAAGAAGTGTGAGCAAAAATAAAGAAATCTAAGAGAGAGGAGAATCGGAGTAGTATAGGCTTTAGGAGTAACATACATCTAACCAACTAGAACGTATCGAACAAAAGAATGCAATGCGAAAAGTTAAGCCTGGAAGGATAATATCAATATTGAGATTGAATTAAAAAAACTATATATTTAGTCTTAGTTTTTGATTGAAAAAGAGAAATGAGAAATAACAAATAAAACTCCAACAATAAAGTTTAGTCTAAACAATGAATTTGTAACTAAAAGCAGGGTGAAAGGTTCGAGACCTCTGACCTTATTACAAAGAGACCGAATAAGGTTAGTTCACTTTCAGGGTAAATCAAGGTATTATGAAATTAAAGTCACTGTCGTAGAGTGAAATTCCAGAAAAACTGGTATATGGAAAGAAATATATCTTTTGATATTATCTTTTTGACACAGCAACTCTTATCCCCACATTTCTCCTTACGTCCTCCCAAACGAGAAATGTAATTATTATCGTATGAAACAAGTTTTATTTGAATATTGTTAATATTAAAATGCTTTCATGACGAAAAAAAAATCAAGATTATTTTGTTATCTGTGAATATTTTGAAGCTTTTATGCTAAGTAAAGTAACTAACTAATATCTATAAGTATATAAAATTAAAAATATAAAAACATTTTTTGCATACTTTTGACGAAAACACTTGGCATTGTAACCGTTTTTTTATTACAATGCGAATATACTTAAAGTCACTCGATAACTTTCAAGTATATTACAAAAGGGCTATTTAAGTACTTTTTACTTTGGCCAGCTTTTTGATCCCTCCTTTTTAATTTTGGTCGTTATAACTTGATACGCATTTTTGTGCGTTATATATATATATATTAAAAGGGTGTTTAAAAATATATTAAATTTGGTCTAGCTAATAACTGCGAGAGCTAAATTTTTTTTTTTTTTTTAATATATTATATCTTTTAAGATATTTTCTGGTTCATAGTTAGTGAATCGCCCTTTATCCGTGTATAACATATTACAAAAATATTCTGCAATGTAATTTATTTTGGAATGTTAAAATAATTTATATATAACACATTTGAACAAACCAATATTAATAAAAAGTTATGTAAAAATGAAATTATAATATAATATTTACGTTGTACCATGCATACAAAAAGATAGCTATTATAATTTTACGGGATCATCGTAGCACAAAAAAACTGTTTATCAAACTAAAATTAACAATTTAATAAAATAAATATTTCAAGAATTCAGTTTAGAAACAAACAACCGTAATTATAAAATTACACTTTAATACGTGCATGTCGTTGGAAATTGTATATAAAAATCAAGTATATCAAACTATTTAATTTTTTAGCAAATCCAGTAACGTTTTCGACGTTAGTTCGCCATTTAAAATTATTGTTAGCTGTTGTTTATTGAATTTGAATTTTGAAAGCGTACGTTTTGTATTTCCGCTTGATGAATTTTAAACAATATAACGTGACTTGATTTTTAAAATGTCTATTTTTCGCTGCAAAAGCTCCGGTACAATATGTACGACGGAAATTGTTGTTAACAGTTTAAGTGAAAGTTTCCAGTTTGTTAAACACTTAAAATATGTAGAAATAGGTCAGCGTGACGTGACAGTTATCTTTTTTTAAAACCGTGAAAAGTAAATCGGTTATGAAAACTAAAATCTAACATAGTAATGTTGACACGCTGCAGGATGCCGAAGAACCCTGATGAGATCCATTGTGACTCAGCTGGACTCGCAAAGCGTTTATGAAATAATATATTGAAAATGGTTCGCTCCGGGGTTAACGTGGCGTATATATTTATCGAATAATATTCTGTAATTTAAGGCGGTCGAGCAGTTATTTATTTAATCGCAAAAATAATTAAACAAATACTTTCGGTTGTAGGTTTGCCATTTTTGGAACGATTGGTAGAAGATATTAATTCTCGTCGATTCATATTATTTAATTCCTTTGTTTTTCATGAAAAAAAATTAATTCAAAATATAAAAGTGAAAAATGGTTAGAACAATAAGGTTTTAAGTATTACCGCTTCATCTAATCAATATGCAATGTGTTTCACGAGAAAACGTATAAAAGTTTATGTATATTATAACTTATAAGTATTCGTTAGAGTTTTTCGAAATTAAAAAAATCCATATATTTATGATAATTGAAATTTGAAAATAAGGTTATACCGGTAGTGAGAGGTTTAGGGCGGTATGTTTTCTTTCGCTTGTGATGTACCAAAATAATATCAGAATTTTTACTCTCGCAGGTTTGAACTACATTAAGGTTATTCAGTTCAATAGTATCTAGCAACAAATTGCTCAGAAATTATATATTTTCTCGGTCAACAAGAAAAAAAAGTCTTCTCGAGCACTTGAACGGATTCTGAATGATTCGGCTGATTTAACGATTAATTAAAAATTTTACTTATAATAATACCACTGATAAAAGTGTAAGTCAACGCCATCCAAAACCCAAAACCAAAGTGTGGCTAGAGGCAAAGCAATCTAACGGGCAAATTATTTTTAATTTTTATTTTTATACAGATGTTCAGTTAATTGCAGTTTTGGTTTGGAAAAAATATAATAACAATAATACTGTACAGTCAATTTATTCAAAATAAATATTTTCATAAACCGTATCAAAGTCTTAGTGTTGTACAAATGGAAATAAGCTCATTTTCTTGGAACACTTAAGTGTACAACTACATTCAGTGGTATTATTTAAATTGATAGTAACAGAATAAAGACTAACACAATTTCATGTGTCAATACAAATGCACAAAGCGAATAATTTAGTTCTGTGGTTGGCAACGAAAAACCTTTTACGTTGTAGTCTCTCGTCTTTAACTCTAATAAAAAAACATGTTTTAACCTGATCAAGTCTGAGCTTGATCAAACATTTCATCAAAGAATATTTATACTATCCGCTTTAAGGATTTTTATATAAAGTTTTTAATACAAGGCGAGTGTTGATTCCTAGAATATTTCACTCAGGCAACTTCCTGTTTAATAATAACATATTTTATGCATTTCAAACATCCGACTTTGACGCTTGAAATATTTCACGGTCATTTAATTCATAATGCGCATCAATTATTCATTATAATCTAACCATATAATATTAAATCAAGAGGGTGTTTTCAAATTTCTGTTTACAGAAATAATAACTATTACAAAACTGAAACGAAATCATAATGAATGTAAACTCAACACTTTGGTGTATATTTTAATTAAACAATATTAAAATTATTTTTAAATGATACTTGATAATAGCTTGATAATAACGCGATTACGACAAAGTGGTATAAAAAAAATCCCATTATAATAATTATACAGTCGTTATTAATACAAAAGTTTTTGAAATGCGTTTTAGTCACATCTGTGCTTTTAAAAACTAATAATACAGAGGTGCCAAACAGATTGGGTTATAAGTACGCGGTAATAGGTAAAAGTTTTTTGTTTTCGAACTAAATGTCAGAGAGAAAACAATTTTTAAAGTAAAAAAGTTTGATAATTAACATTTTGGATGAAATCAACCACTGTAAAACGAGTGCCGGATTAAATATTTATTTTAAAGAACTTGAACGTTGATAGTAGCATGAGAATCCGGATAGCATCGAGTAATTAAACCGCCGTCTTGGCGACTTCAATAGACCCTTAATATAATACCCGTAATTCGTTAAACAAAATATGTCTTTTCATTTAAAAAACAAAATGAGACCCTTTATTGCTAATTTTTTTGGTAATTGTAGTCATTAAATTATGTTTAAAAGTATCGTTTTTTTTTTTGTTAACTGTCCAAAATGAATGTGGTATACTTTTTTGTTACCACCTAAAACTCTTTAATTGTAAATTCAGTGGTTTTATTTTTTTCAATTCGTTTTATTACATTGAATTGAACATCAATCTCTATTTTATAGTTGTTAAAAACCTTTTTTTTAAGTTCAGTGATACAATTTATTGGTATAATAATTATTTTATATAGGGTGAAGGAATGTATTTTCGTGGCATAAGCAATTTCGTGATATAGTTTGTTTGATCGTAACGCGTAATTCCCTATTAGAAAATTGTCTTGAAAATCACACTGATTGTTAAAATAACTGTTATTTTAACAAACAGTGTGATTTTCAAGACAATTTTCTAATAGGGAATTACGCGATACGATCAAACAAACTATATCACGAAATTGCTTATGCCACAAAAATACC